ATTATAGGCTTATAAGAAGTGGTTTAATTACAAAATTAATTAAAGTTTAGAAAACTAAGGGTGCGCGCTATACGTACGTGCATAGCGTGATCAGTTCATACAGTGGGATAGCCCCCAGGTTTAAGGCGGGTTAAATATTATCTATATGTATGTATATATGTATAAAGCATGTATATATATATATATATATATATATATATATATATATATGAGATGAATAAATTATATGTACATGTATGCATGCATATGTGTATATTTCAATCATTTACCTTCGCTTCATAAATTTGCTTTCCGACGCCCAGCCGAAACGGGGTTGATAGTATTTACGTCAACTGTGCCAAAAACATTTAGAAAAAAAATATCTTTCGTTGTTTGGAAATTGAGATTTCAAGTGCAACTTAGAGCTTTGGTGAAATTATGACTATTTTTCGATTATTGTGGTTAGCTTTTATTAACTATGTTCATTTAAACTTTGCAACCGTAACCGTGAATAATATTTCTCTGACTAAAGTGAAAAATATACCACAATTGTCCCAAGTTTTCAAGAATTAAAACTTTTTATTCAGCTATGAATTTATTTTTTTTAAATCAGGCGACCTTTTTAAAAAAAATGTTTTAAAGTGTGATGGCGAGTTTCATCAAAAGTTGTAATCAAAATGGTAATCTCTTTGAAAATCCTATTATTGAAAATTTTCGAGTATAAAATGAAAACTTAAAAATGACACGATTTTTGCTAGTAAATACATTTTACTCACAATCAGTTCAAAAGTTTTACACGCGCAGATAAGGGAACATTTGAACTGTTAAAATGTACTAGCAAAAATCATGTCACCTTTAGGTTTTAATTTTTTCACACAAAAATTTTCAATAATGAAATTAAGTTCTATACTATTTTACAATCAACACACTTTAGTTAATTTTTTTTTTAAATCTCAAAGTCGACCGATTTTAAAAAAAATAAATTGATAGTTCAAAAAAATTCTTAATTTTAATAAATTAATGAACAAAATTAATAAAAATTAACTATTATAACCGAAAAATTGTCATGATTTCATCAAAGCACTAGGTTGCACTTAACAGCTCTAAACATTTTTTTCATACTTTTACTTTCGTGAATATTGTATTTATTTTTTAAGTGCGACTGAAAATAGTTTTAGGCGGGAGGGTGCATTAATCATGTGCACCTTAAAGAGGGGTCACAAAGAATCATAATATAACGTGGTGGAGGGGAGGGTCTAGTAAGATATCACGTAGATTATTTTTTTTACTTCAGTTTAAAAGAAATAAAAACAAAAATTTTACGTTTGTCTCGATACTAAAAATACAGTAATGTTTGTAAAGGATGCGGGATAATTTTAAATATCACCACGTATCACCAAAGGGAGGGGGGTCCAAAAATCCTTAGAAATCGCTCACGTGATTAATGAACGCCCCCTTATATATATTATTTGATTTAACTATTATTGTGTAATAACTGTTCGTTTGAACGTTATGCTTCTTAATTAATAAGCGATTTTGATTACTCTTATTCAAGTTGTTTGAACAAAAACTGTTCACTTTTTAATAAAAAGTGGAACAGACTTGAATAAAAAGATTTTATATAAATCTGTTACAATAGTTCTTTTCTTCAATTTGAGAAATCAATTCTCAAGCTTTTCCTAGTCAACCAACACTAATATTGCTCAAAGTTAGAAGTTTCGAGAGATGATATATCAAGGGTGAGTAACAAGCGGCTCTTTAAATATTTTCCTGCGGTCATCCAAGCATTTCTAATATAGAATTTTACTTGTCAATTTTTTTCCATCAAGAAATTAATTATAATGTATTCCTGTCCTGTTGTAATAATTCATAAAGTATTTACTTTTTTAAATTATATTATAATGTGTATTATTTAATATCAAGCTCTGTAAATTATTTTGTGCGGCTTTCTCATACTACATGTAAATGTTTGCCATTGATATTATATATAATCAAATTATTGAATCTCGTAGCACAAGAATATACATAATTGAACACAAAAAATAGACTATATATTGGGTGCAGTGAGATGTTGTAGTGATGACCTTATAAATAGATACCTATGTGTTATAATTATATTATTTATTCATTCGAAAATTATTTACATTCTATACAAAAATAAAATATCGGTTTGAATAAATTTTTGGTTATTTACTTTATGTGAGTGTATTTGTGAGCCATAAGAATTATCAAATAAAATTGTTCTTAACTTTTGTTGCATTCTCAATAATTTTACTTAAATGAAATTTAATTATTATTTACTGTTAATGTCCGCGTATTTTTTATCATTATATTTGGTAATTCCGTACTATCCATTACATGGCATTTCATTCGTTTTTTAAATACCACACTTAAATTTAGAGACAAAAATTCATCTAAATCTATTTCTTTATGAAATAAAATATTCTTGACTATGATATACAGAAATATGGCAATTTTGATACAAAAAAAATTGTACGAGATTTTTAAGACCATGTTTTTTTAGTATTATCTTGCGCAAATGCTTAAACATATAGAATTGAACCCATTAAAATCGAAATTCTAAAATTTAGTAGTATTACAAAAATTCTGCAAACGATTATAATCTTGAGGTGATTAGATTTTTAGGAGCTGCTACAACTTCTAATAATAAAAAAATTCTGTGAATTTTACTACATTTCAAAATCTAATTATAAGGAATTAAACACGCTTTGCTTGGTCTGCAAATTAATGTTTCTACTTTTTTAATTATAATTAATTTATATTTTAATTCGTGAAACAACTTTGGTTTAACTGCAGTGATTTAATTAGTAATCATATCTAATAATTCACTTATATTTACATTTATAATTACGACTAGTATAAATGCAGTTTTGACCCAGTTGTAACGTGTATTGAAACTGTTCTCGGAATTGAGCTTTCAACATATCCCTACCCGGGCATGCGCCTTGATTCTCGCCCGGCCCACCCCTATAAACATATTTTTTACTTTGTGGCAAGCAGCGACAGTGAAATTTTCATGGCCACAAATGAATTATTACTGCTGAAGTTCGTTTATCTAGTGTCTATACTATGATAATTTTGAAAAAAATAGTTTTTCAGTCTTTGTTTTATTTGTGAATTATACAGCTGATTTTGGTAAATAAATCATGAGTTTAACTTAATTTCCATAAGCTAATATAACGTGCTTGATGAATATGCATGGCATAAGGTTTATATACAATCAAGGTAAAGAAAATTTATCTGAATTTAAAGAATATACTAGAGTAGAATATAAATTTTATTTACAACATATTCTTCAAACATAATATTATCTTAACCTAATTTTCTAACTCCTATCAAACATATCCTATGGTTTTGTGTAAAAGAAATTATAACAAATTATGCGCATATTGACTGTGACAATATTATAAACTTTGGTGACTCGTGCTCACAGTTATCATACTACAATGTTTCCGGCGCCAGTTTTGATGAAATCGTTGACTTCATTACTGAAAATATTTCTGCTTCAAAACATAAGTATATTTGTGCACACTGCCTGTGCATTTGACGTAGAATATAATTGATAGCTGTAAAGTGTATGGTAATTCTTAAAAAAAAACACGAAGTATAAAAAATATGAATGAAAGATGATATACCATTTTGTGATTGGATTAATTTTATTAGAGAAAACTACTTACACAAAAAAATCTTTTTTATTGTACTACAATCACAATCTTTTCAAGTGTAGACGTGATAATTTTTATATTAAAAACAAAATGTTTCAAATTCCATTCGAAAGATATTAATATAAAACCGTGCTAATTACTTTTTTGTTAAAGATCGTCCGGGTCGTTTCTTTATAATCGTGCTCATCACCGTCAGTCTTATATGAAAAACGACCGAGAAATTTCTCCGTAATTAAAAATTTAAGGTATAATATTTTATCCACGTTTTCTTGGAATATTCTAGTTTCAATATACTTGAAATAGATGTAGGTTGGGAATTTTTAGCAAAACTTTCTTCGTAATGATGAATGAATGATTAAAGAATATCTCAATATTAATAATTCAAAAATGTTTCAAATTTTCGATGATCATTACACATTGGGAAGATAATATAACTTGCTTTGAGAAAAATATCACGTCTGGTTTTTGTTACATTTCCAAAAATTTAATGGAGGATGACGCCAGGTTGAGATTTTCTTAATTAACTCATATTCAAATATAGTTCGATAGTTCCAAGCTATTGGAATTTTAATACCCCAATGATGATGAATTACTTTACATCATTTGAGCTGGGATGAACCTTCCAACGCATAATCATTATTAGAAAACAATTACTATTGTACTTTTAAAAAGATACTGTAAAGTATAGTTCTATTAAATGTATTTAACTTCTGTCTTCACATTAGATACAATGTAATACAAACCGTTTTTTTAACTGTTGTTTTGATTTACTTTTTTCCACAACTATTTTGCATTCGATCTAGAGCAGAATCTCAATTATTATGGAGTGTCTTGAATTGAATGTAGAGGTGTGTGGTACAAATTCTTGCGAAAATTGGATGCTGAAGATGGAAAATCTTATTCTTGCCATATTATTTAACATTATGAAAATCTGCAATTATTTACAAATTATTTAATTGTAAAAACATTGCGGCTATAAGTTTATTTAGATGGTAAAAGGTACATAGTTAAGGTTCAGACATCCACCAATCCAATTATTAAATAAAGAAAATAATGTTCGGTAATTTCTATAGTTTATTTAACATACATTTGCCCTAACTTGACTTGATCAGTGCAATCATAAAAATACGTTAGGCATGTGAAAGGATTGTGCAAATATTGATGAAACAATATCTGCATCGCTTGAAGAGCTTATCACCAAAGTATTTTGAGAAGTTGTTTGTAGAACACATGTGTATATAAATCTATATAATTCATTTTTAATTAATTTTTAAATAGTTTATTTATAAATCTGGCTAAAAATATTTTCAATTAATAATTTCTATTTTGTTTTAGGTAACGATGAACGAGCTGGATAGTTTGAGGCAGGAAGCAGAGACACTAAAAAATGCCATTCGAGTAAGGAATACAACATTCAATAAATGGTTGATTTTTGTAGTTTGTCCACACATGATGCGCAGATTAAACATGCCATATCTTTATTATTTCAATACACGATCACTTTTAATTTATGCACTAAATCATTATTATCATATTGCATGCAGGAGTGAAAAATTGGTACCTGACAAATTGGAAAATAGCTATTAAGGACGCATGTAATACTATTATAAAAAATAATTAATAACATTCATTATATATTAATAGAATTTTTGTTCATTTTTATTTTAAGTATATTATCAACACTTACTTGTTTAATTCATTAAATTACAACATTTATAATTGTATAGGATGCGCGGAAAGCCGCGTGTGATACAAGTTTGGTGCAGGCGACGGGCAATCTTGAACCAATTGGCCGAATCCAGATGCGTACGCGTAGAACGTTAAGGGGGCACTTGGCAAAAATATATGCTATGCACTGGGGTAGTGATTCTAGGTAAGTTATTCAATAACCAATCCACTTATTTATATATTTACATGCTTCCACTTATACATATTTATATGTTTACAGGAACTTGGTATCAGCATCTCAAGATGGTAAACTTATCGTGTGGGACTCTCACACTACAAATAAGGTGAGTAATAGTTGCATTGTACAATGCATAACATAGAACTATCATTTAATCATAGTTTATAATAATTTACATTAATAGGTTCATGCAATTCCATTACGTTCATCGTGGGTTATGACTTGTGCTTATGCCCCATCAGGTAGTTATGTTGCTTGTGGAGGGTTGGACAACATTTGTTCAATTTATAGGTAAAATTACTATATTTAATAATTTTTGTAACATTCATGGTCAACGTTTTTTTTATTTTTAATCAACATATATCTTGAAAAATTGAAATGCAGCTAAATCGTTATCTTAATTGGTAAATGATCACAAAAAAGTTATGACAAATTATCTTATTCAATACTCAAAAAAAATCTTACAAGTATTCTTTATTGAACTACTTTGATAATAATTTCTTTCTAATTAAATAAAAATAAACACTGTCAGTTTTGCACTTTCATTCCTAAAATTTTATTCCATGTCTAATTTTACACCTGCATTCTTAAAACTATTATTTATTTAAACTTTTATAACGTTCATGAAATATTTCAGTTTGAAGACTAGAGAAGGTAATGTAAAAGTTTCAAGGGAGTTGCCCGGCCATACCGGATATTTGTCCTGCTGTCGCTTCTTAGACGACAATCAAATTGTGACAAGTTCGGGTGATATGTCTTGGTAAGAAAATTAATATATCTGTATTTCTAAATTTAAAAATGTTTTTATATTATCGGTTATCATTTTGTACACCTTTACTAGAAATTTCTAATGTTTTTGGTACTAATAAATAAATACATACGTATAGATGCATAATAGCTTGTTATACTGGGAAAATTAAACATTTTTAGAAACCCTCTAACATTGTTTAACTTGAATTAGAATTATTTTAAAGTATTAATTATTAATGTTTTTATTAATTTTTTTTGTTAATGAATATTAAATTAGAATTTAATCACAAATTAATTGGTTTTAGGCTTAATATGTTAATAATTTGGTTGTTTTTTTTATTTTGATTATGAAAATAGTATGCTAATTTTTTTTCTAATTATTACATGATTTTAAATTATTCTATGTTTATTATTGAACTATTTTATTTACTATAATTTAAATTTGAACAAAATATATAGAACTCTAAATAAGAACGTCAACATTTATAGACTAAACTTTAGTTTCTTTAGTTATAAATACTAGTTTAGGAATCATAAATTCATAAAAATCAGTAGTATTTATTTTTTTGTTTAGTTTTTCATTGTTTATAGCATCTCTGAATCAATTTTTAATAAATCAATATTTCAAATCATTTGCCTATTAGATGTTATAAATCTACTATAGTATTGCGATTATATTTTAGGATAATTTTTTTTTTGTTGTATTATAATTGGAATAAATAATTGATCATTTTTAGTGGTCTCTGGGACATAGAAACTGGTCAACAGTGCACTTCATTTTTGGGTCACACTGGTGATGTGATGGCTCTATCTCTAAGTCCTCATTGTAGAGCATTTGTCTCAGGGGCGTGTGATGCATCTGCTAAACTTTGGGACATACGTGAAGGTCAATGTAAGCAAACATTCCCAGGACATGAAAGTGATATAAATGCTGTTACTGTAAGTATAATAACCACAAGATTTAATTTATAATAGCATATATATTATATTATATATAATATTTTTCCAGTTCTTTCCAAATGGTTATGCTTTTGCAACTGGATCTGATGATGCCACGTGCCGCCTCTTTGATATTCGTTCTGATCAAGAATTGGCGATGTATAGCCATGATAATATAATTTGCGGTATCACAAGTGTAGCATTCTCAAAAAGTGGTCGTTTGTTACTTGCTGGTTATGATGATTTCAATTGCAACGTATGGGATACGATGAAGGCAGAACGAGCAGGTATGATAAGAATTGTTTCTTTGCATTTGTGCCACCAAATATTACACAATGTACTAAATATTTTTCTATATTTTAGGTATATTGGCTGGTCATGACAACCGAGTTTCTTGTCTGGGAGTAACAGAAAACGGTATGGCTGTTGCGACAGGATCATGGGACTCATTCCTCCGTGTGTGGAACTAGCCTAATCTAGACACTCTATCTGAAGATAAACTCTCAGCCTTACCTCTACATAATGCTGCTCATTTTAAACAGTCATGGTTCAGTAAATGCGCCACAGATCTACACAAACATATTAGAATTATCCTAAACCATCTCATACATTTTGCAATATTATGTTTACACTAATATATACAGTGTTGTGCATTAGTTATATAGCAATATAATTCTAATTAATGCACTGCACCTGGAATGTTTGCCCAGTATTCGTTTGGGTGAATAATTCAGATTAATTTGGATTATACATTGGAAAAGGTGATATTATAATTACCAGCAAGTACCACATTGACCAAATCCTCTTATGTTCAGAAATTTGGTTACTGCAAAGCCGTTTTTTAAATAGTATCATCAGGTTTATAATTAGGAAGCCAAATAAAATGTAGATTCTAACTAAATGACTAGATAACCAAATTGAAGTATTGATCGTGTTACGGTCAATCAGATAATGTTCTTTTAAATTAATGCATACGAATGTATTCAGAATTTGATAATTAGATGGAATGATTTGTAGTATATCAGTGATTTTGAAATGTTAGTCAGCCATTATTGGTATTTTATTTATCATAAGAACTTTGTTCTATCGTAAATTGATTTTAATCAATAACGTTATAAACATATTTCAAATTTTGTCAAATCTACTATATACAATACTTTATACAAAAGCATTTACTTTATTTTAAGATTTAGACAAATGTGATGTATTAATGAACTGAATAAAGTCATTGCAATTGAAATCGATCTAGGAGATACAACGTAATTAGTAACAATATTTCAAGTTTACTTCCCGATTGTGGATAAAACAACTTGATTTGTCAGTAAATAATATTTATACAAATATGCTAAATATCCAAATGATTTATACTTAAAGTAAGATTTATGCTGACAGATCGTCCACACCTTGATTCTAATGCATTTCATGTTGCACAAATTCATTTGTATATTTGTCAAGTTTAGTTTAATGTATAAATTTTATTATTTATGTGAGTTTTCATTAATATTTCATAACAGTTGAATCTGTGGTTTAAAAATAAATTGACGAATAAAACTTTTTAAACATTATTAAAATCTATATACATATAATAAATTGTAGAAATAGCTTACTGTAAAAACCTTATTTTAACATAGGTTCATTGAGTTTACTCAAATTAATGAGATATTGGGTTTTAGATTGGGCTTCTATTGTGCGATGACTATGCCATAATGTGATGGCAATTATTTATTCCCCATTTTAAAAGTCAATAACGTTTATTTGTAGCTGTGTTTGAAGTGTGGGGAGAAAGAAGTAGGATTATTCCTTAATCTGGATGATCGTGTCCAGTAGGGCTCTGGGAATAAACCTACTGAATAAACAATCTGGTCTTGAAGCCTAGCCTAATTCTCATATTCATATTCTCATGTGAAATCGCTTATGGGCACAATGCATACATAATATTTCATCACATATAAGGTTTAAAGTTTTTGATTCTTTAAGTTTGCTATTCAGGTGTGATGTTGTTTAACTGCAATTACTATCCTATTGATGGTAAGAGTAAGTTGCAGTATTTGTATTTTGGATAAAAGTTTTTTTTTTCAGCAACATCTCACCTGACACTCAACTTAACCTAATCAAACCTCAAAGTGGTTGTACCATATTACCTAGGTGGTCAAATCATTTCAATATTAGAAACCCTTAAATTATTGTACATTTTTGTATTTCTTCTTTATATATTATATACATATGTGCATATGTTAGTTTATAAATCATACAAAGTATGGTATATAAAAAAATATATTCATGCTAAATATACAGAAACTATTAGTTAAATAATAAGAATGGTATCATAAGGTTTATGTAATGTGACATGTAAACTTGCATATACTGGCATTAGACTTTTTGAGTACATTTTGTTCTTACATCATCTGTTAGAGCAATATTTGTTTCTAATTAGACAACGATGTTTTACTTAAAAAGTATATTCCAGTATATAATATAATGTAAGTATGATATAGTCTTGTCCAATAATATGTCTTAAAACCTACTTATTTTGTTTATTACTTTTAGCTTATATTTCAGTTATCATTTATCAATAATTACAGTAGAACTTATTACTATGCCTTAATATTTAAAATATTTACATTTTTGTTCAGAATATCATATTATAAAACATTCTCATTTTTCAATTTCAAAATCTTAACTGTTAGGCATTTTAAATCTATGATTTGAATAAATAATCAGGTGAATGCTTTATTACTAAAATAGCTCATTTATAGCAGTCCATTGCATTTTAAATTCTCAAGATATCAAAAATCTATTTAACTTGATGTTGATTAATTCTTCAGTTTAGAAAAAATTGATTGACTTCTTTCATTTCAGATCAGGAAAGTAAAAATCATTGCAAACAATGATTTTTTCTGTAATTTGTTTTATGCAGTAATAATAAAAATCAACAAGGGCTCATTAATTGCATAAGAAGTACTTATATTATATTGTCTAGGATACTCTTCAAATTTTTGGGGAGCCTGATTGGTATCTGATTATCTCTCACATGTTTCGGATGCTCGCACATCAGATACTTTTCTTGTATCTATGCTCACATCTAGCTAGCATTTAGCTTAATTTTGATTAAAAATTAATTCACCATCTGAATAATTTCTCACTCTTATCATGTTGTTCTAACGGTTCCTACCCTGTTATTACAACTTTTCCTTTTAGATAAAGAAAAATAAGTATTTTCACAAATAATGTTATTTGTAAGTTCTTGTAATTTGTTTTAAATTGTCAGCATCATGTTTATTTATCTATGATCATGCATATTTATCTCTGGCCAGCATCCTAGATTTAGACTTGATCGTACATATGTTTTTTATGTTGGTACGACTTTGAACCAGATACCCGTTGAAAGTAACAAACAAAAACGAATCGCACAAGAAAATCTTTCTCAAATCGGAGAATATATTCGTAAACGCAAAAGTATTCAGTTTTAAATATAATAGTTTTGATATTGGAATTCCAGTATCACACTATATCAAACTAACGAGCCGAATTCGGTAAGTTCATCATATAATACTAAACATTTCATATAAACTATACACTCATTTATCCGAGTATGTGAATAACCCGACGTATATTATTACAATTGCAAAACAATTTTGGTTTAATAACATTCTCCTCATGATTTCAGTTGCTAGTTTCAAATAACAATAATAATAATAATAATAATTTAGTTTTCGTTTTAACCGCTAGGTGATTGTCAAAAATTGTAAGTGCTGTTGACCCATTGCAGTCGGCCAGCGGTCTGGAAACTGACCGCAGTGTTTCATAACAGACGTTTAAATATAAACAATGGGTGGCACGTATTCTTCAATGGATCCGATGAAGATTGATGTACCATACATCGATAATTGGTTTGAACTGGACCCATATCTTAAACCCTACGAGAGAGAAATTCGAAGAAGGTATGACCTTCTCAAGGTCGCATTTGTTTTTATTTTTTTTTATAAGGTCATGCACAACAAATGTCAATATAACATTTGTCATCGAAAATTCAATTGCAGTTTAATGCAATCGTATTTTCAAATATCTGTTTCTGAACCAATATTTTCATAAAATTTTATTGGTATAGTACGAAATGTTGTTATTATCATTGAAATGTTTTTGACTTTATTTGGTATCAAGATATTAGAGAAACTTGCTTTGGTCGATCTCAATATAAGTATAAATTATATATTTATATATATATATATATATATATATCAATAATTAATAGTTAATTAACTATTAAATGACTTAAGTCATTTATATTTATAAAATCAGTCGTACCTTTACTTTGTACATGGATTACAAATGGCCAGCATATTGCAAAACAGTATCAATACTATATTATTTATCTAGTCTTTTAAAGTTTTGAGTTAATTACTTTTGAAATATGCATCTGTTTTGAACATAAATCTGTAATATATTAGATTGTGTATAAATTATAATTGAAACGTTCTTTATTATCATTACATATCTCATTATATATATTGTAAACATTTATTATATATGTGTATATATATATATATATATATATACACACGCATAGAGTTTTATTATTGAGTAGAACATCAATAAATTTTCTTTCGTGTTAATACATATGTCATAATTTTAATCGAGATTATATATTAACATAAACGAAATGAACAATTTTTTTAGTTTATCAAAAATCTCATTAACTCCAGACACTCATTTATTTATTATTTATATACTACATGCTTTTACAGATTATCTAAAACGACATACATTTTATTGTAGATCAACTAGAAATAAAATACTAGAGTCGTTTGCATATGAGAGATTAAATTTTTATAAAAATTTCATTGAATGCTGCTATTTCTTCAAAAATGTTTTTTTCTTTATCATGACATTATTTACAATTTGATTAAAGATTGTATCATGTATTATTTATATATTTTTATATTTAGATATGGTTGTTTAAAAGATAGCCTTGAGAACATTCAGTTTTTTGATCTTGGCATACAAGGATTTTTACACGGATATAACTTTTATGGAATTCATATCCATCATGATAAATCGGTAACATGTCGAGAGTGGGCTCCAGGTGCAGCTCAGTTATATCTAACTGGCGACTTCAGTGAGTTAATGATAATCAATCCTGTGAATAACTATTTTTAATACTATACAGCTCTGAAATAAATAGTTGACACAATCAGTTTTTAAACTAAGCAAGCATGTTTTTATAATAATTATATGTATCAAAAATCGAAATTGTAGTAGCCTTAAAGCATAATTTAACAATTACCCAAGTAGATTTCCAAATTAGACAAATATTGTATAATTTTCATAATATAATAATAATAATATAATAATAATAAAATATTTACAAATTGCAAAATAGTTATAAATCCTTTTTTAAATTATCATTATTTTTTGTTATATTATGATCATTTTAGTTTTGTTAAATCATTTGTAAAATGATGCTGCTTTGAATATTTTTGCTTTAAATATATAAAAAATTATAAGGAGTTAACATTAAATTTGAGTGGGAATGAAAAACTCAAATATTTTTGAGCATTTTATTCATAGCCAGACAATTTTAAAATATTATTGATTGAATTAACATTTTTTTAGACAATTGGAATAGGAGTAGCCATCCATATAAAAAATTAGATTATGGCAAATGGGAAATATGGATTCCGCCAAATCATGATGGAACATGCGCTATCAAGCATCTATCAGAAATTAAAATAGTAGTAAAAACCAAGGATGGAGATTTACTTGATAGAATTTCACCTTGGGCCACTTATGTTGTGGAGCCTTCAAAAGATGATCCAGACAAAACTTATAAACATAAAGTTTGGCATCCTCCGGCTCATGAGGTTATACCCTTTGTTTACATTCTGAATAAGTATTTAAAAGTTATATATTTTCTTATAACTTAATACTTATGGAATTATAAAATAATTTTTTTAAGATTTAAATGATTTAAAATTGAAAGTGCTTATTTTAATATTTACACATTTTCAATGTTTTCTAATTGTTTTGGCTTACTTTTGATATAAAGCATGTATTAGCAGGTGCATGTGTGTAAGCTACATGCACAAATTCAATACAGATATTCCAAATTTATACTTATTTATATTGAGTGGAATTATTAGAATATGAGCACACTACACTCAGTTTTTTGCACAAACTTCATTTCGTAAAGTTAAATTACAGACGAAATTGAGTTCTTAATAAGTCTCATCATCAAAGTAAATTTTTAAAGCTAAAGTATATATTTTAACACATTATAAAATATTAATTTTGAATTTTGTGTAATTATGGATAAACTACCAACTTTCTGTTACAAAGGTTGACAATATACTGTAACTTTCTGTTACGAAGGTTGACAATATATTGAATATGTAAAATTTGTGTGGGAATATTTAAAAACAAGATTACAAGTACCTAGAGCTAAAGGGATAAGGATAGATATTTTTATAACGTAAACAAACAGAGCGAGCACTTTGCACAGTAATATCAACAAACATGAAAAGAAATAAATTAAATGAAGAAATTAAAATAAGTGACTGAAAATAACAGTAATAAACTTTATAAATTTTCAATAAGATTGAGTCATGTTTTACACAATTATATGAACTTTACTTTTGCAGCTCTTATATATATATATATATATATATATATATATATATATATATATATATATATATATATATATATATATGATCCCTTGATAGTTTTTAAGATGTTGAAACATATTTGAAAAATTTTATTTTGATGAATGGCTGTTAAATTTTTTTTTTCATATATATGCATTCATTTAAACATTTACAGAAGTATCTATTTACTCAAAAGAGGCCAAATAAACCAAGAGGTCTTAAAATTTATGAGTGTCATGTTGGTATAGCAACAAATGAAGAGAGAGTCGGTACATATAAGGAGTTTGCTGACAATATCATACCCAGAATTGCAGCTCAAGGTAATTGAAAATTTGTAGCTTATTTGTATTATCTTTCACTTTAATATGCACATTATTCTTAAATAAAATCTAGGCTACAATGCAATTCAACTAATGGCTATAATGGAGCATGCGTATTATGCTAGCTTTGGGTATCAAGTAACTAATTTTTATGCTGCATCTAGGTAATTAAAATAAGTTTGAGATATAGAAATTCTTTCAATAAATGGGACAATTTTCAGTCGGTATGGAACTCCTGATGATTAAAATATTTAATAGACACAGCTCATAAATATGACTTATTTGTTTTGCTGGATGTTGTGCACTCACATGCGAGTAAAAATGTTCTGGATGGCCTCAATCAGTTCGATGGTACTGATAGTTGTTTTTTCCATGCTGGACCTAGAGGAGTACATTCCTTATGGGATAGCAGATTGTTCAACTATTCTGAGTGTGTATATATTCTTGCTTTTGAAATTATTTTTTAATAAAATATTTAATATTTAGTTTTAATATTCATATTTTTTCTAAAGGCATGAAGTGTTACGTTTCTTACTTTCGAATCTGCATTGGTATCACGAAGAATATTTATTTGATGGATTCAGGTAAGTTACTAAATTTTTTCATGGAGAGTTATTAGAATTGCAACGCTTTTTTTTACCCATTTTAGCATATTATAGAGAGGTGTATATAGTAAATTTTCTCAAAATAATTGTACTGTTGGGTGACCAAAAATGTCTATGAGAATTATTTTATTTTTTTAGAATTTATTTAAAATTATGTTTTAACTTTTTACCATGATTTTTATATTATAAAATATGTATTTATAATCTACTTATAAACTACTTTGAATTAATTTACATATTAAATAAGCCTGTTATAAATTTTCTAATAAAGAAAATTAGGTTTTGCATGATCTACAAAAATCCTAGTTTTTTAAATGTAATTTAATCTCTTCAATACTAATATGTTTGTTAGATAAAATTTGTTTTATATCTTTTAGAACTTCAATTTTTTTCAGATTTGATGGTGTTACATCTATGGTATATCATTCGCATGGGATCGGAGAAGGGTTTAGTGGAAATTATGATGAATATTTTGGGTTGAATGTTGACACTGATGCTTTGGTATATCTCATGCTTGCCAATTATATGTTACACGATCTATTTCCAAGTATTGTAACTATTGCAGAGGTAAAGTCGATATAAATTTATTGAACAATAGAAATAGCAAACTAAAGCATTTGCATATGCTCATTTGAAGTTTGTTGTAAATTATAATTGTAAAAAAATATTCTAAATTTTATGCTGCTATATTAAACTGGATATGTGGCATTTTAAATATGGTAATGTATTTCGCAGTGCTTGTTTTAATTTATTGGCATGAGTTAGGTGTAGTGTGTTTTGGTGAAAGGTGTTACACTGTATTCAATATCTCAGAGAAATCAGCAAGGATTAGCAAATTTTTAATTAATGTCAACCGAGTACATTTTATTAATAATTTCATCTGGTGTGCCGACACTATTTTGGTTTTAGAAGTGTTATTTGTTTTTATTATGTTTTAGTTGGAAAAAACAACTATCAGTACCATCAAACTGAATTGAGACCATCCAGAATCATGATTATATAACTTCATTAAGAAATATTTAATGTTAATTAATTTTAATCTTTGAAATACCTTACCCGTATTTTATTTAGTAATATAATTATGAAATTTAGTTACTGTTTCAAAGCTTTTTTAAATTATTTTTTGTTCTATCTGTCTGTGTTGTTAATTTTAAATCATACGAGTTGTAGGTTTATAAACTTATTCAGTCTTATAGAACATTCTCAAGAAAAGTAGTAAAATAAGAGAAAAACCTTATCTACAACAATTTAATAGCTATTAAATGTATTATTTTGTCTGGTTACCTTGTAGTTAAGTAATTTAAGATGATATGAAAATAATATTTGTTCTTAGGATGTATCAGGAATGCCTGGTTTGTGCAGACCAATTGCTGAAGGAGGAATAGGATTTGACTACCGTTTAGGAATGGCTATTCCAGATAAATGGATTGAAATATTAAAAAAATGTAGAGATGAAGATTGGAATATGGGAAATATCGTACATACCCTTACAAACCGTAGATGGAGGGAAAATACTGTTGCTTATGCAGAATCGCACGACCAAGTAACTAATACTTAAACTTAAGAAATTTTAATTTAAATAAAAATTATAATATTGTATAAAAAAATATACAAATATATTTATAAATATATATATATATATATACATATATATATAATTTGTTTTGATGAGAACTAAGCATAAGTAGAGTTTTACCTTTAGAAAAGTTGTAAAAACTTTCCGGCGTGTGTAAATAATCATCATTCGAATGGTTTTTAAATTTTTTAAATCGAATTAATTGCGTAATGTGGACAAAAATGTTTGCAGTTTTCTGCAGATTCTAAAGAAATAGTTTGGCCGATTCTCTCGCAAAACAAACCAACTTGAGTCTCATTGAATGACTTTTAGATTTTTAAATCAGTTCTTAGAAAAGTCGACGAAATTCAAATTTTGACTCACAACTTAATTTTGGTTTTACACAATTCAGCATGACTTGAAATGTCGAGAAAACTAATAGAATTAGCAAATCAGATTTTTTTTTTGCAAAAATATAAACTTTTCTTTAGGGAAGTTAAAAATATCTTACAATTAGATATATCAAATAATAGGCGACTAAATGCCATTGGTTACAAAATAAAGAGTACAAGCTATCTAGAGTGATGCTTTGCCATCCCATCATCTAGTTTTATTCATTTTAAATAATTATTGATATTCAGTAAATTTAATTATTTAACTATAATTATTATGGTTTCTATTATGCTTTATTATATAACAAAGCAATACAATCTAGTGCATCATATAATAAGGATATATACATAATTATCCTTTTCAGCAAATTAACATTAATTCACATATGTCTTTTTTTAAGGCTTTAGTTGGAGATAAGACAATAGCGTTTTGGCTTATGGATAAAGAGATGTATACTCATATGTCGACTCTATCAGAAAATTCTATAATAATCGATAGAGGCATTGCACTGCATAAAATGATAAGATTAATAACTAATTCACTGGGTGGTGAAGCATACCTTAATTTCATGGGTAAGCAACTTTTTTACATATAAAATTAAAGAATTATATATTTTAAGTCTGCTTAAAAATAATTTTATATTGTTGCCTTTTAAATTGAATTAAGGTAATGAATTTGGGCATCCTGAGTGGTTGGACTTTCCACGTAAGGGAAATAATAGTTCCTATCATTATGCACGAAGGCAGTGGCATCTAGTTGATGATAATTTATTGAAATATAAATTTTTGAATAAGTTCGATCAAGATATGAACTTTCTGGAAGCAAAATATGGATGGTTAGAGTGCGAGCCTGTGAGAAACATTTTTATTTTATAAAATTGTAGATTTAATAACAGGTTAAGGCAGTGATACCCAATCTTTTTCGCACCGTGCCCCCCGCTCTAATAAAAAAAAATCTTGTTGCTTCCTTAATTTTTTCAATAATATCATTTCTTGAATACACACTGCTTAAAAAATCAATATGCATAAAAAATATTTATTTTTATAGAATTCTAAATTGTTTGGTTTATTTTCGAAAACAGTATTTTGGAAACAGCTGTACGGCGCGTACAGCTCGTTGTAGCAGCTTGTTATCTTATATGTTTGAATAAAAAAATATAGATTTATTATTTTTTTACACTGATGTCATAAAAATTAACTTGTTATATTAAAACTGTGGGCGGCACCTTGAGCAATGATATCATAAAAAATATGTCTGTTTAATATAATGATTGAAACAATGCTAATTATTAAATGGATTCAAGGCTTTTGAGTATTTCAATTAAAATAAAAGAACATTAGCTATATGAGTATTAAACTATAGTTTTCCTATTTAACTCTGATACTTATAAATCAAGTTATAATATTTTGTATAATATGCATAGTCTTTATAGTTTTGATTAAAACATTCAAACTATAACTTCAAAATGTTAAAATGAATTTCTTTTATTAGCAATTAGAAATATCACTTTAGATAGTTACTTCTTGTTGGTAATTACGTCTTCCAATTGCATTTAGTAAAATTACTTAATTGTCTAAAATGTGTTTATTTACTTTTATAGGGTTACGTAAGCTGGAAACATGAGGATGACAAGATAATAGCATTTGAGCGCGGTGGTTTAGTATTTGTTTTCAACTTTCACCCACATAAGAGTTTTACTGATTATTTGGTCGGTGTTAGTGGGGATGGTGCATATAAAGTGGTTCTTAATTCAGATGAACATATATATGGAGGTTTTGCAAGAGTTAATAATGATGTCCTTCATGTAACTCTTCCTGAAGGGTTTGCAAATCGCAGAAGATCTATCAAGGTAAGTTATATATGAAACAAAAAGTGATTTTGTAAGTTTTTATTTCTATTGTGCACATACCTATGTAATACTGATCTTGTTTTCAGATTTACATTCCATCACGAACTGCAATAGTGTTTGCTTTTGTTAAAAATTTTAATTGTCAATAATCGACTTTAATTTATAATTTTTATATATTTATAATAATCTATATAGTGATAAGCTTGTGGTATGTACTTATTTATCAATGTTGATAAAGAGAAACTCCACTTGATAATTGTTCTAATGTTTCTGCTGCGTATTGAATCTCCTTTGCTGTTAGAGTGTTATTTACAGTGAGACGAATACTTGGACGTTGAACAAATTTCTCTATACTTTCTAAATATGCTGACTTGACTAGTGCTAGACCAGAGTTTTCACACTGAAATAATATAAGATACAATTTTGTGCTATCGATATGGTTTTAAAAATTTAACGACACCCATTACCACCTTATCTATAAGATCCGTTAGAAATTTATCCTGTTCCTCGACTGATAAGTCATCATCTTGCATATATAAATGTTTTACTGGTGATAACTCATCTCCTTGCACTTTCAATTTCGTTAAATGCTGCAGTGAACTAATACAAATTAATTTCAACATTTATTCATGAAATAGATAAAATTGTCATAAATGAACAACTATATAAAGCATACTTGTGGACTTGTTTACAACGGTCTTGTAAATTCTTGAACAAATGTGAATTGCCTTCAAAATAATCCAATGCTGATATAGCTGCACGAGCCAATAGCGGTGGCAAAGATGCAGAAAAACAGTAACCTGAAATGTTTACAAAATTTTACATAATACATATAAATTTTTTTAAGTTAAAATTAACAATAAGTAAGGAGTAAGACGTCTGTGGTAGACAAACTACAACATTTAATTTTTCCTTTAATGTAGTTTTTAAATAATTATAAAACAATAAAAATAAGCAAATTCAAGATAATAATTTCAACTTAAAATATTTTTCCAGAAATTATTTTAATAACAATAATTAGTTGAAATTATATTGAATTTGTTTATTTTTTATTATGTTTTATGATTATTTAAAAGTTACATTAAAGGCAAAATCACAATACTATCAGAAACATCTTTCCTTACAAATATCTTCCTTATACATAGTTTTGATATATTGCTTTATAGAATACAAGACTTAATTTTATGAAATATTTCAGTTTCACTTCATTATTTTATTTTTATAATTTTGTTTTTTCATTCTCTTTTATTTCTAATTTTTAATAAATTTAAAGTCTTTGTTTGCGTTATTTGATATTTAAAGCAAATAACTTACCCAAACCAGATAATCTTTGATGTTCCACTATAAACGATGAACCCACACAAAAACCACCAATAGATGCAACTGCCCAATCAAGACTTCCAATAATTAAATCAATGTCGTCTCTCTGAAATAAGCATTACTAGATAGAAAATACTGGCAAGTTCAAAATATGGTTTGACATTCATTTTGTATTCATAAATAGCAAGAACTATAGTCAAAAGTTATAAAAAATCATACTTTACACTAAGTAGATCCAAAAATGCAATAAAAATACAAAACTTTGTTTAATAATTTTTCAATTTAAAATGATAACATTATTAATTAAAGGGCGTTATGATAACTCACATTTACGTTGAAATACTCTGTCACTCCTCTGCCAGTTTTTCCAAGTGTACCTAGTGATACAGTTTCGTCCACAAATAATCGAGCCTTATATCTTTTTTTCAATTCAACTAACTCGGGCAAGGGGCATATATTGCCGGTGTTCATGTAAATTCCTTCAACAATTAAAAATCGTCGCCTTCGAGTAGCCTTCTTTAAATTCTATTGAGAAGATTAAGAATTTATTTAATTAATTGAATCAATTGTCCAATTAAATCCGAATCCATTTGAGATCAAAACTGGAAAAAGTGGGTGTTTATGTGAGCCGATTGTTGATCTTGCTCAAAAACGGCTACGTCGATACTTTTGAAGATTATAACTTGATACTGTCCTTAACTTGATAAGGACAAGCGTTGATTAGTTTTTCGACGATCGGTTGAGGCGTTTCGTCAGAAATAGCAGGAAAGGGTTTGACCACGCTTCGTCAAAAATACTTAATCGATTTTAAAAATTTAACAACTTTGAAAAATAACAATTGGAAATCGCGCTGAATAGATTTTGATAAGGATCTGTCGGGCTTTCTTTGTTTTTAGTTATTACACCATTTTTTTTATAAAGCTATCACATTATTGATAAACATAATAAAATACTATATACAAAAAGCGGTTTCATTATAAAAATTTATTAAAGATTAAAATAATGGGCCGCTAAAAAGTTGATAAATCTGAATTCTCATTGATTTAGTGGATTATTTACAACTAGTTAATTTTATCTTTCATAAAAACAATGAAGTGGTAGCAAGCAGGTAGCAAAATTGAATTCCACGGTTTTCAATATTTAGTTAAGAAAAATTATATGGCATATAAAAGACATAGCTATCAATGATATATTGTGTAATTATCCGTATTTTCATAATAAATTATACGGTATCTTGACATACGAGTTTAATTCGTAACAACGCTCGTATCTCGAAGCAATTTTTACTATGTAAATACATTGAAATACCATTAATTCGTCCCAGCACTGGGGTTTTTGTTAACTTTAAAAAAAATAATTTACTATGTATTTATAAATTTGATTATTGTTTTTTGCTGACCATTGAGTCCAGTTGTGTGGTTAAAGAACTCTCATGATGAAACTGTTGTAACTTTATCGGGGTGAATTTTATACATAAACTTTTAGAGCTCAGAAAACTGCTTATAAATTATTGTAAAGCTCTTAGCTGGAGTTATACCCTTTATCAATTTCTTCTGCTCAAGCACAGTTTAAATAATTTCATGCATCAATTCAAGAGATATGACCCTTTTCTTTGGACCAATGATTATAAAAGTACAACACAATATTTTTTAAATGTACGAAAAGCAAAAAATGCAAACTTAACATATATAATCCCTATTGATGCATATTCAAAGTATCCTCGATACGTTTGCGTAGGTACATTGTTACTAGACAATTATTATTAATATATAATTGAAATGACTAACTAGAAAATAATTTGATATAATAAAACAGCCAAAATATTTCCATGGTAAGAAAATCATTGTTACAAATGACGAAAATTTTTATAACTTTATTCTATCATTACTAACATTTTTCGAGAAAACTCTTATTCGCCTAAAGCTGTATGACCAAGCTAAGAATTGTTCGTATGTCAGGTTACTCGTAAGTCAGGGTACCACTAGGGGGTGATCTATAGACATGGGTGGATCGACATTCCAAAGTTAGTTGGGTTCGGTCATACATTTGGACGCGATTGGGGCACTCTAAATGGGTCAAAAGGGAATTTTTAAAAATTCAACTATTATCTTTGGGTCAATTCACCATCGGAATGCATTTTAGAAGTATGGTTTCTTCAGAAAAGTATCTTATTTTGACCCCTAGTATCCGAAAATCATATGTGTCGTAAGTGACTTTTAAATCAACCCACCTTGATATATATATATATATATATATATATAATATAATATGCAATGTTAATATAAAATGTGATATTCTATAGTGCGTTTTTACATTATTGATGATTAGAATATGTTTAAATGTAAGGTTATATATATGTAAAAATAAGAAAATAATTTTTTTTTTTAATTTAAATATAAAGTAAATAACCTTTAAATCATTTTTTTCTTGTTGTATGAATTTCTCTTCCAAATCTTTCATGTCATTGTGTTTGAAGTAAATAACTGTACTCCTCGATGCATCCAATCCCTTTTGTGCTGCAAAGCTAACTTTTTCGTCACTAAAAAATTTAAGTCATTTTCGCCAATGTAATTTAACTACATTATAACTTATAAAAATATATATTGCATTTACATGAATATTAAATCTCCGCGTTTTGAATAGGCCGGTATTGCACTGGCAATAGTTGAGAAACCATATGAATAAACAACAGCTTCTTCCATGTTCATGTATTTAGCCAGTCTTTCCTCCAGCTCTAAATGTACATCTACGGTATTATTATTATTAAAAAATATTGAAAGAGTTCAAACAAATTTACAATTCAAGTATCTTACCTACAGTACCATAAAAACCACGAGGTCCACAAGAACCTACACCATACTTATACAAGCTATCAATAGCATCCTTATTAATAGACTGATTATCTAGTAAACTAAGATAATCATGGGTAGCAAAATTAAGGCATTTTTTACCCTTTAAGAAATTATTTTATATTGTAATTTAGAACAAATGAGCACTTGCAAAACATGTTATTTATGCTGTAAACATATTTTTCATAATACATGTATGACTTTACCTCAACTGTTATATTATGTCCAACACGCCCAGTAACAATTTTTGGAAATAAGCATTTATTATCTAAATTCACATCACTTACAAGTTCTTCAGGTTGCCACGAATCAATACATTTTTGAACATCCTACGATTTCATAATATCTTAGATTTCATTAAATAAGTCATTATTGAAACAATTAGAACATACCAATGGACAAACTGTATTCGTTTTATGCTTGTTATAGAATATGAACCACAACAAAAGGAGCAAGAAACCAAATTGAAGATAAAAAGTATACAAGGGAGCCTGCAATTTAAATGCATAGTTATATTTTAAATTTATTTCATCTCTAATATAGCACTAAAAATTCAATTTACTTCTAAAGCTTTTATTATGATGTCTAACAACATTTTGGAAATTATAGCATTAGTTATAATTAAGATCAATTAAAAACGTCCATAAAGTGAGATTATTTTGTAGGGCGAGGCTTGTCGCAACGGGTGTGTCACTGTATAACTAATTTTTCGGTGTGAATTATTAAAGCTCTATAACATATTGAAATAAATCTAATTTATATTGCAATTTTCATATTTTGACATATAGATTTTTAACCTATCATTAAAGTAGTTCTAAAGAACTGGTGAACAGTGATAAACGATAAATTAACGACTGTTTTTTTCAACCGTTTATTTCTCGTTAAATTAACCGTATAAGAAACAAAAGAACTAGTTGAATTTATGTATATTTGTCTATGAATTTAATAATCAAGTGGTTGGTTCAACGAAATTATTTCATTGTCGGTGTGAAGTGTTAAATCACTATAATATAAAATTAAATCTTAAATCCATTATGTTTTAATGCTTCCACACCTACGAACGAACACAAACGAACATGACGAACAAGAAAATACAAAAAAAAACGAACACGAACACGAACAAAGGCAAATCATTCCAAGCAAACGCCTCGAAGCAGTGAGGGCTTGAATCTTTTTGTTCGAGGATGTACCGTGAAACTAATTATTTAAAGTAACGGGAAAGAGAAAAATTATTTAAAGACATCAAATTTACAAAATTTGTCAATAACAGCAATATCTTATAATAAATACGACATAAACTAATGCAGGACTGCACATTTTAACATAAAAAAGAAAAATGTTTGTCTACATTCGTGGTAGCGTCCACACGGCACATACAAGTTCAAACATGTACAGTAAACCCTCGCTTTACGCGGCAAGTGCGTACCGTGCAGTATAGGAACCGTGCTATAAGAAACTCGTATTTAACATACAATTCAGGCTAATTCGTAGTGCGTTCTATGGAACCTTACATAGTGCAGTATGGGAACCGTGCTATTAGAGACTCAGAGTTGGTACAAATCGCACCATTTTTATCGCGTTGTATTGAGACCAAGAAATACAACTTGAAGTAGGAGACGGACGAAATGACATGTAGGACATTGACACCTTATTCAAAAATTGGCGCGACGCAGTAGTCAGCTCAAACGTGTTCTTAGGCGGCTATTATACAATCAGGCATGTCTAAAAGATAAAAGTCGATAACAAAATTTACATCAATACCCTTTTGCACAACGAACTTATGGGCTGTTGACCAAATACTGTGTAATAAGAAGTCCGTGTAGTCGGAGGGATGTTGGATTTTTAGCTCCGTGTAGTATGGGAACCGTGTACCCAGAGTGCCGTGTAAAGCGAGGGCCTACTGTACCGACAAGTTGCGGAACATTGCTCGCTATGTTTGTTTGTGCTCCTTCGTGTTCGTTGTGGCGCCCACATATGCTGTTGCCGTTCGTTCTGGTAGGTACATTCTTGCTTGTTCATGTTCGTTCGTGTTCGTTCGTTAGGTGTGGGCGCACCTATAGAAAGATTGTACTGATGTGTTAATTCAAAGTTGGATGATAAAATTTCGGCCTTTTGTTCGGGTGTTGTTGCAAAGTTATTGGAATTTGTATGTAAATATGGTATGGGAGTAGAAGTTTGGGTCAGTTTTTTTTGCAGTGTACCAATTTTATTTGGATAATAGTTAATATTTGTTAGTTTATCAGCTCATATTTTATTACGATAAACCCTAATGTTCTCAGCAATTATTCTAGCAAGTCTGTTTATATGTTGTTTGAGGAACGTGGCGCCTGATTTTTGCCATAACTTTTTAATTTGATTTTTCATTTTAATTTTGGATATAATTTCCAAAGGTGAAGGAAAAAAAATTTTTGGGAAAAAAAATTTTTTAGGAAAAAAAATTTTAGGGAAAAAAATTATGGGGAAAAAATTTTTGCGAAAAACAATTTGGGGAAAAAATTTTGTGGAAAAAAAAAACCAAAAACTTTTTGACCAAAATTTTTTTTTACAAAATATTTTTTTATCAAATTTTTCTGTAAAATTTTTTTGACCAAAATTTTGGGGTAAAAAAAATTTGAAAAAAAAATTTTTTCTCCAAAATTTTATTTTCAAAAATTTTTTTTTCCAGTTTTTTTTCAAAAATTTTTTTTTCCAAAATTTTCTTCAAAAATTTTTTTTACACAAAATTTTTTTCCCAAATTTTTTTTCTCTCCAAAATTTTTTTTTCAAAAATTTTTTTCCTAAAATTTTTATTCCCAATTTTTTTTTTCAAATTTTTTTTCCCCAAATTTTTTTCAAAAAATTTTTTTTCCACAAAATGTTTTTCCCTCAATTTTTTTTCGCTAAAATTTTTGAGTTTTGGCATGTTTTGAAATAATCTCCTTTCACCACTTATAAAAGGTAATCTATATTGTTGTACATGGAAATACAAGTTTTTAAATTTAATTGAATTAATAATATATATTGTATAGATTTATTATATATAGAATATATAGACTTGTTTAAACTGCACCTTATTGCTGAAAGTTTACTACATATGCGACAGATGTCGCGTCCTCCATTCCATCCATTCATTCATATGCATTTTTCAATAACACATTCTCTTAAATATATAGAATGCACAAAGGCAAATTTGCAGGTATTAAAACTACGGTCACCAAATTTGTTTTCCAAAAAACTTTTTTTTTCCAATAATTTTTCTTCCAAATTTTTTCCAAAATTTTTTTGACCAAAATTTTTTTGACCAAAATTTTTTTGGCCAAAATTTTTTTCCCGAAATTTTCTTGACCAAAAATATTTTTGTCTAAAAATTTTTTTGACCAAAAATTTTTTTCGAAAATTTGTTTTGACCAAAATTCTTTTTCCCAAAATTTTTTGGACCAAAATTTTTTTTCACAAAATTTTTTTGACCAAATTTTTTTTCCAAAATTTTTTTGACCAAAATTTTTTTTCCGAAATTTTTTTCCCGAAATTTTTTTCACTAAAAATATTTTTGTCTAAAAATTTTTTTGACCAAAAATATTTTTCGAAAATTTGTTTTGACCAAAATTATTTTTCCCAAAATTTTTTGGACCAAAATTTTTTTTCACAAAATTGTTTTGACCAAATTTTGTTTCAAAAAATTTTTTTCCAAAATTTTTTTGACCAAAATTTTGTGATCAAATTTTTTTTGACCAAAATTTTTCAACCAAAATTTTTTTGACCAAAATTTTTTGGACTAAAATTTTTTTTTTCAAAATTTGTGACCAAAATTTTTTTGACTAAAAATTTTTTTGACCAAAATTTTTTAACCAAAATTTTTTGGACCAAAATTTCTTTGACCAAATTTTTTTTTCCAAAATTTTTTGGACCAAAATTTTTTTGACCAAAATTTTTTTGACCAAAAGTTTTTTTGACCAAAAATTATTTGCACTGTATTCAATTATTTATTTCAAATGGTGATACAATAATAATATTAATTAATATATAATTGTTACATTTTGATTAAAGAAACGTATGCCTAAATTTTACTGTGAACACGGTGACACCGGTGAAATACCACCATACCACCATACCACGAGATGACGCCAAACATAAATGCATTCGGCATTTATGCATACAGCACACGTTTCGAAATACTGCAAGGTCGATTATGAAATAACGACCTAGCAGCTGTTTTATTGCACTTGGTACAATGTACTGAGTGTCAACTCAACTTTTTGTTGAAATTAGCAATCATTTGCTTCTGCCAGGAGCAGAATGTGATTGGTTTGTCTCATCTGGATTTTTTTTTGGATCCGACTTTGGTCGACTAGCGATTGCGACAGAATTCAAAGTCGTCGTCGTTCTCAGATTTTGATTGATTTTTGACATAAAATTTTGAAGGAAAAATGTTAATTTATTTGAAAATTTAAATACAAGTTTTTACTAAATTTTATGTTATTTGATGATGATAAATTATATATTTTTTACAATTCATAACGCACGCTGTGCAGTACTGCCTCTACAATTAATAATTAAATTCCTTTTATTGCTTCTCGCGTACGGGATACTCTTGTGGGAGTACCCTCATCGCAACCCCGGCTTATTCAGCGACATTTCTGTCGCCCTTTAGGGTTTGCGGCGTAAGTAAAATCATTT